CAAAAATTTGGAAGAGACATTGATGGAGTTAAGACTGGAAGAATTCCATAAAGTACTGCCAGCTGAGCATCAGCCATTAAAAATAAATGAGGCTCTGCAGAAAATCCGGTTAGAAGCTGATAGTGAACCTTGTAGAGTCTCAATAGGAAAAAGGTCCCCAAGTATTGAAGGCGTGGATGGAAGTGTCAGTGTTTATGATAATGTGTCATCACCATCAAAGGATAATCCACAAAGGGAAAGGCCAATCACAGTTGCCACAACTTCCAGCAAATGTAGCACCAACATCAGTGCTATGAACAACAAAGCATCTATTCGGACATTACCGAGAGAGACTAGAAAGTACATAGATGAGACTGATAGGTCATCATCACTGGCTGGGGTCCACTACTTGTCCACTACCCTGGATCATAAACACTTGCAAGATAGTACTAACTTTTATCGGCTTATGCCTAAGAGTTCTGATTCTTCCCCACCTGAGCAAAACTTAGTTCTTCAAGACTCATCCATCAAAGAAGAGAGGCAGGGGAGCAGTGAAAATACTGCGCCTGATTACAGTCACAAGTTGTCAGATGCTGCAGATAAGCATAAATGGGAATGTGTGACATGCACATTTCTCAATGTTCCTTCACGCGACATCTGTGAGATGTGTGGCAAGTCAAAGGTGAGAGGGCCAGAAGTAAGGCCTCTGGCCAGTGGTGGACGTGAATGTCCTCAGTGCACGCTCGTCAATGAGAAGGGCGTGGGCACCTGTGAAGCATGTGGTGCCAGTCTGAAGGACTCACCAACATATATCTAATTTCTGAAATGAATGATGAAAGTTTTAGTTCTTCATTTGATATAATGTTGTGAGTAGCAACCATTTTATTCATGTTAATTTCATCAGGCATTCATGACCTCTTTATATCACATTGAAATAAAACAGTATAAATAATTAAACCATGTTGTAATGTGAAGACTGATATTTCATAATGTATATATTTCAAAGTGGAATTTCAATATGTAGATTATAAATTATGAGGCACAAAAATATCTGAGTATTATAATTAATGATATCATAAACAAGAAATAGTTTGCTGTTTGAAAGGCATGTTTTCTGTAATGAAAATTCTTCTAAACTTTTTATGTTTGAAAATAATTCTTAAAACATGCATACAATTTATTTTCAAAATATGCACTTCATAGTATAAGTTTTTGTAGACTAATTAGTTACTGATGTTGGTAAAAATTAACATAGCTTTGTTTTTGTACATTTAGAATTTAATCAATTACATTACCAGTTACCAAATTTTATATGGTAAAAATGTTTTCTCAAAGTTTTTCCTGAATTGGGGTATTTAACTATTGTATTTCTTTATATAGGGTACATCAAACATAATTTTGCAGATACATAGCTTAAATTTTTAATTGTATCAACTCTGTAAATATGTGGTAAAAAACTGAATATTATTAGTTATTTCAAAATGAATGAATTTTGTAGATGAACCATATAAATTCCAGCACCCAAGGACTGGAATAATTTTGAGCAACGGAATGTACTAATTATTTCTTATCCTATTAATTGAAATTGTTGAAGGAATTGAGGAACCATATGTAATACCTTCATCAGATTTACAGTACTGGCACACGACTATTTCAAATACTGTTTTATTACCAAGTCTGCATGAGTGATAAAGTATAAGCTATAGTTTGTTATGAATTGGGTAATGTAACTGGATTATTTTCTACTTGTGCATATACTGTGCATTTTTATACACATTGATCTAATTACTATGTTATTTAAAGTATATTTTGGTGTAAGATTTGAGGTTTTCACAACGGTGAGTATGAAGATTTCTGTCTTCTGGGTTGTTGCGCTGTGTAGTCTGGTCGATGTTAACAAACATTTCAGAGGTCATACTGCCTCCGTCATCGCCCTGATGACGGAGGCAGTATGACCTCTGAAATGTTTGTTAACATCGACCAGACTACACAGCGCAACAACCCAGAAGACAGAAATCTTTATATTTTGGTGCTTAAATGATTTGATTTTCTTTGCTTTAAGTGAAGTTGAACATGAATAATATCTGCCACAAATATGGGGGTGTATTGATGATTTGATTTATGGAGTGAAAAGTGTCATGTCTGAAGGAGAGGAATTTTATGTAATGGTGTGAGGTGTATTCATTATGCTTTATGTTTTTCACGTTAATGTAGTTGTTTAAGAGTCAGTTTATAAGAGAAGATTTTAATAATGTATTCCATTTGGGAGTGCACAGAGATTCAGAATTTGGATGGAAACATAGGACATTGTTTTTCTTTTCTATGTTGTTAAACATTTCAGATGTCACCAGAAATATGTACACTTTTTTATAATTTGGAATTAACATAAGAATGCTAAAATGTCTTGCTTCTTTTCATCTTTTTGACCTTACACTACACTGCTGTGGTAGGAATAAACACTAACAGTGACACAAAAGCCTGTTATTATGATATACATTATTTTCACCTTGTAGTAATTTGTTAAAAATGCACTGCATCTAAAAATGTTTGTAGTACTTGTGGATTTTAGTTAAATATGTTTTTCAGCATTTATATTCTCATATTTTTAAGTTTGATTCATTCCTACTTCAAGTCCTTAAAGGCAATAATGTTGCGTCACTTTACAATAGATAATGAAGCCACTGTTTTGGAAAATGTGACATTTAAATCCAGTAAAATGATTGGTCGTGGACTGAGTGGACAGGTTTGATTCTCACAAAGTTGGAATTTCCTTTTTCATCACATTCAGAATGCTCTGAGATCCATTCATCTTCTTTAAGCAATGTATGTCAAGTGCTCTCTCCAGGGATAAAGACAGTCACAATCACCTCCAGTACAGAGATAATAAATGTGAAATTTTATCTCCAGGCCTGTAAACCTTCAGATGGTAGTGCTTTGGCATGATATGGTTTTTATTTTGAGATCTTCACTATGTTGAAGTCATTGAGAGAAACATGGGATTTTGTTAGCAGTTTAAAGGTGGCCTTTCTCACAATATCCCGACTTTTTATGGCTTTATCGTCAAACCAGTTTCCTTGTAGACAGGTATTACTGTAGTTTGAGTAGTTTCAGAAGGAATTCCACTTGTGGATTACAATATGATCTTGATTTAGCAGTCGCTATATAAAATTCATTTTAATCTGGGAATAATGTAATATGACACTTCAGTACTCTGAAAATTGAGCAGTGTTCTCATGCGCCTAATATCAGTTCTGTCCGAAGAAGACATTTATTTCTAGAAAATGCTTCATGCTGCGCATTGCTGAATATCACATTGGGTCATCATCCATTTTCTTATGCTTATGTACAGTTACATACAAGCTTGAGACCATGTACATCATTTTGTTCCATTCTTAACAAGAATGCCTCTTTTTCATGCAAGTTCTTACTGTTTCCACAAATTAAGAATGTGTCACAAATCGTGTTTTTGTAAGACTGTACGTTAATTCTTTGTGGTAACAACACTAGCGGATCGAGAGGTACAAATGATACTCTCCTTTATAGATAAAGGCAGCACCAGCTTGAAGAGAATGTCTAATCTTGATATTGTTCTGAGGTTCAAGAATGTGTTGCACTGCAGCTGCACTTTCTGTACGTTTTGTGGTGTCTAGAGACGCCGCGAGTTTACCTCCACCTTATCTTTACTGCATGTTATTAAAAACGTACAATATGTTGACCGGTCAACGCGGACATTATGGTGGTTGCTCTTAAGTGATCAGCGTATTTCTCTAGAGCTACTACAATTAAATTGTGTTTTATGGTTTGAATAGATTCTTATTAATTATTGATAAGTTGTGCTGTTGCTTAATATTTAGAACCTTGGTAATAAGTTATTAATATGTCATTCTTTTATGACAAAATATATTAAAGCATACCTGATACTATAGAAGATTTGTAAGAAAAGTGGTTTGTCCCTATAAACCATTTAGCAAGTATGTTAATTAAAAGTGTAGATGATGAATAATGGTGAGAGAGATTTCAGTTTATTGTAATCTTCTCCTGCAGTTGTAGAAGAGCAATGTAACCTAGTTATAATGTTCCTGTTTGTCTGCAGCAAATCTTTAACGGGGAGAAGGAAATTCATATACTGCTAAAATGGGAACATTTTCACGTTGTGTAATAAAGTAAAAAGAGGGGAATCTGCCAGTTTTGTCCTCTTACTTGAGACTGATGGCTACCTGCAAGTGTACAAGTACACGGTGGTCTCCGGCTGTCATGAGATGCCATTGTATCTGAATGATTTCATACTAAACCTCTTTTACTTTTGATACAAGAGAAACGTCTAAGGTTAATCGTTTTTCCATCCCCGAACTGGATCTCAAGTTGGGGTAGTAATTAAGAGGTGAAGAATATTTTTATCTTAAGCCTAACTTACAAAAGGAAAATTTACTGGAAGGAAGTACTTGAAACCATTAAATTCTCACTTTGTAAATAACATTTCCACTCTTTAGCCTGTGATAACATATTTTGTCTTAATTACGAGTGGGCCACCACAATGGAACAATAATGAAATGGTCAAATTTGTAGAGAGTTAGAGTATAAGATGTAATGATTTCTGCCTTCAAAAATTTAATGAGGGAATGTGTTTCAGGATATAACGCTAGAAATCCTGAGAAGGATTTGAAGTTCTCACGGCGGTGAGTACGAAGATGACCGTCTTCTGTGTTGTAGCCTGGTAGAAGTTTACCAACATTTCAGAGTCAATGATCACTTGTCACCCTGATGATGGAGGCAGCTGCTAATTCCCAAAAATTAACAGATCTGACACCTGCTTGAATTACTTCTCTTCTGGGAATTTTGAAGACAAAGCAGATGTTATGAAGAAAGCTGTTGGCACATTTGACTTGCTTGTGTTGACCACACATGAAAAATTGAAGGAGCACTAGCCTCAATTAAACTCTTTCACTGTGCACATGTTTTTGGCTTGGAATGCCTCCAGTAAATTTTCCTCCATGTAAATTACTCATGTACCCTCAATATTACACGGACAGATTACGGAGAAAGGAATGGGGACAGCCTAAAATATAATCATTACTATTAATTTCACATGAAATCATTGTATAATTCTACACGTTTCTTACATTTAGTTGTGATGTGGATTACTACTCTTTAGTGTACATATTATTGTAAATTGTATTATTATGTAGATTATTTACAGTTTTTGCTATTTGTAATGCATAATTGACTTGGTTGCATTTCCTAATTGTAGGTCAGTGCAACTTCAAAATGAATGCCACTAATCCACAAGGATTTCAATCCAGAATGACACCAATGAACAGCGTAGCTACTGATCACACTAAAAGAAATGCGCAAATAAAGGTAGCGCTATTTATTATTTGAGGATTGTTGCAAACTATTTTAAAACTACTGAAGCAGTGAAATATTTTTATAGCAATGTCTAAGGGAATGTTTTCTGTTGTTTTGTACAGTGTAAATATTATAAAAATATATTTCTTTCTGTTTCCAACAAAATAAACCAATAAAATTCTAAATGTTTTTTTCTTATTTTGTATTTTCATGGGGTAATGTTAACTGCTAGTACTGAATTATACATATAGAAAAACTACATGTGACGTGACCTGCAATACCTTGAACAAACAGGAGTTTGATTTTTAACCCATGTAGGTGTGTGTTACAAATTAATTTGATATCTTTGTTGTCTTAATATTTTACACAATTTGTCAAAAAGAAAAGACGGGGGGGATATTTTGGTTTCTGGTGGCGTACCAACTGCAATTACCCCAGTTAATTGATTCATAAGTGTGCATGGATCACCAATAGAATATACTAAGATGAACACTGAGGATATTTAAACCCCAAACATCACGTTATAGGTCGGATTCATCTGTTTTCAAGATGTTTCTGGCTTGGATCTTGACAGAGGTGGCTACTTCGACTATAGTAATCTTATTCAGTGCCATATAACATGCAGTTGGCAAAATTATAGAAAATTTGGTTGTTAAATGTGCATTGTGTGGTGAAAACGTGTGTGACTTGCTGTCTCAATATTTTCAGAGTTCACACTGCAGAGAAATAACTTTAGAATTCGATGCAGTACCAGTATGAATTTGAACACACTCGACTTCAATCTTTAGTGCACGTGTAGTAAATATATTACATGGCTGTGTAAATCTTATCAGAATATGATTACATCTCCTTCGCCCATATTCGATTCTTCGAAAGATGCCGTCGTATTTCGCTTAAGTGCTTCCCAGTAACATGCTAGTGGGCTATGTCTAGGTGTCCCACAATGTTTTTCAGGGTCAGATGTGAAAAGAAGTAGCCAGTCTTCTTGGGCAAAAAGAATATTTATTTCAATAATGTTATTTCTAGGATGTTTTAAAAATCAGCTAAAAAGAGGTAGGCCTACGCTTTATTAGTTGTTCTATACATCAAGTGTGTTGTTAACATAGCCAAAGTCTTCCTTCACCACCAAATGATTTTCGAATGGCATTATTATCTGACGTCATAAAAGATTCGTTAGCACTCTTGCTTCGTATTTTGAAGATGTCCTTAAATAAACCACAAATAGTAACACCAGTATTCATGTCATCCGAAAGATTCCACGAACCCTGGGAGAGTTTGAAGCCTTCCGAACATATGCAGTGCGGATCTATTCAGAATTCGAAGTTATGCGCTATAAACAAAATCTTGTAAAAGTAAACTTTGAAAACTCGTTGCGACAGACGAAATTTGCCCGTCTCTGAGCTATTTCCAAGAGAACAACTTAAAAGCCACCACAATTTCCGCTACAAAAACAACGCTACCACAAGACAGACCGAACACCAAG